ACCCTCAAGCTCCCAGGCCTCTGGTAGAGGACCCGAGCTTGAAGGATAAACCGCCCGCAGGGGCGTGCTGGGTGTTATATATGTATTTATTTATTTATTTATTTTTTATTTATTTATTTTTTTTAATTTTATTAAATTTTATTTTTTTTTAAGATTACCGGAGTGCTGATATTGTTAGAAATAGTCTGATTCAGGGGTGTCAAACATAGGGCCCGGGAACCAAAAACAACCCGGCAGAGTTTCCAATCTGGTCTACTGGACAGCTTTGGAAAATGTGAAGGAAGGGATAGATTTTGGACTTTTTAATGTAATTTTGGGAGTTTTACAGCTTTTCCTTTTCATAAAGTCTTCCCTCATTTCCATTCATAATACACCAAAGTAACAGAAGAAACAATTCAGTGACAGAACCTGCCACTTTATTCACTACTATAGAAATCAGTGCACGGTCAAGAAATAATTGCTCTCTATAGTATAACACATATTTATCCTGTGACCCCTGTGGTGGGTCTCAACCCTTATGTTGGTAACCGCTGCAGTAGCAGAGCAGCACCTGAGCCGCAGATGTGTTTGTCATGAAAAGGCACTTTAAGCACTAAATATTTGATGATGTGAAGTGAAAGCAAGGCACTCTGCATTCAGCACACATTAGTCAAACTACCAAGACAGCCGAGCAAAACTATTTCCAACTCAGCCCTCTGCTTTATCCCAGACAGCTTCTCCTGGCATCGTTTCATCCCTGCGATATTCCTGTTACATTATCCGGCAGCTAACTTAGACACGGAAAGTGTGTCAGTGCTTTTATTGTCTCATCACATTCAAGTTGGCCACAGAAACAGGCCACCTCTGCTGCTGGGAGGAAACCCCGAGGGACTGCACTCCTTTCTACAGTGCACGCTCTTTCTCCTCATCTCGTTTCCACTTAATCTCTCTCCTTTAGATACACATCTTCTCTCATATTCCTCTCTGGAAGCAGACGTGGGAGCCTGTAATGTTTTAAAGAAGCTCTCAGGCAAACTTCTCAGTATGCTAGGTGAATGGAAGCAAGCTCAGTGTTACTGCAACTGATATAAAAGCAGCAAGTTATCAACTGAGACTCATCACCAAGCTAATCTATCACTAAGAGGATGACCTACAGTAATACATATGTTTAGAACATAAATGAAAAGACACAGAAAATAAAAGCATCTGGCAGGATTCCAGCACAGACGTGCACGAACACAAGAGCTCAGATCTCTCTTAATGACTCACCAGCTCCACGGAGCAGATTAAGCAGATGCTCACAGCATCAAATCTGGGACTGCTTATACAAAAATAAAAAAATATGTAAATCCTGCAGAAAGCCACAGCAGGAAAACAGAAGCAGCGCCGCGCTGACGGTGCACAAGGTCGCAGCAGTCCCACAGCGCTTCACTCTTACATAATCAGATCCGCACCAGCTAAGCGGAATAATTCCTGCTGGATTGAGCCGTCATCCCACGCACAGAAGAGGGCGCACATGACAAAAAGGGGGGCCGTCAAAGAAGGAATTTAAACCAAATCAAAGCATCTTCTGTCATAGAAAGACTGTGAGAAACACTCATGCACAACAAAAGTGATTCCAGGGCAACAGCAGCTATTCCAGAGAGTTTCCTATAATCATAAGAGGATTATTAAAAACTTACAGTGATGCATTCACGGGACGATCAACAGGTGTCATCCACACAAGTGCACTTCAAATGAATGAAACACAGACAGCCTTCATCTTCTGAATCGTCCTTCAACTCATACCGGCTCTGACAGGAAATGATGCTTCCCTCCAGGTTGCAACAGAGAGCCAAACACGAGACGCCAGTGTGTGTGTGTGTGTGTGTGTGTGTGTGTGTGTGTGTGTGTGTGTGTGTGTGTGTGTGTGTGTGTGTGTGTGTGTGTGTGTGTGTGTGTGGGAGAGAGAGAGAACCAGCCAGTGTTTATGGGCGTGCACACACGTGAGCAAAGTTAAGGAGGAGCAGTTCAGCCGGATTGTATTTCAATTTTCTACATCATGTCCCCCCGCCCGCCCGCCCTCACTCCCTGCGTTACTTTCTCTCCTCCCATCACTTGCATTCCCTGCTCGCTCTGTCTCATCCATTCATCTCCCTCCTTCCTCTCTGTCTGAAGTAAATGCTGCTTCACTGCAGCGCGGTGAGCAAGAAAGCGCAGCATCCGGAGCATGTGAGCGAGCACTGGCTGACGCCTGGTTACCTAACAAATGGGAAAAAAGGGACAGCACTTAAGGGTCTCCGTCACAGCCAATAGAGATGAAGCCACAGGGATCTTTCTGCGTGCGAGTGTGCGTGCGTGCAGGCTGCTGACTCACTGTACATGCAGAGACTGAAAATGAGCACAAGGAAAAGTCACACACTGTATATGAAGAGAGGGAGGAGAGATGACAGAGAGTAAACATTGCAGAGAGAAAGGAAGTACGGTGAGACGTGTGCTTCAAGTGTGGACACAAAGGACACACTGCCTCTCCCGTTTAAGAGACAGAAATAGAGAAAGGTGATAAAACGCTGAGGTGAAACGCATTTTCTGCCTGTTTTTTCTCACTGCACTGCAGCTCTGTCGCAGCTCTTTGGTCACTGCTTTCTGTATACGCAAGAATGGATGACTTAAACAATGACACAAAGCTTTAACCTTCAGACAACCTCAAACACCGACCACTCTGTGGACATCATCTGGGGGGTTTTCCACCAAGAAAACCAGAGGCGATTTGAGTATTTGGTTAGTAAGAGGACAGATTTAAAGGCCTAATGGTGGGTGACTCCAGCAGGTCCGTCACCGTACTCTCTGAAAACTGTTCAGTGGTTAGAGAGTGAGACAGAGAGAAACCACCAGCTTTCCAATTAGTGGATGGCCTGCTCTACCTCCAGTCCATCACAGGTCCAACACACAGAGCACATTTAGAATCACCAATTAATTCATCCATCAGTCTTGTCTCTAGACTGTGGGAGGAAGCTGGAGTACCTGGACCGATAGCAGTCATTTTGCTTCCTTGGCACTAACAATTCCGAGGGATACTGTGTAGAATACACATGAAAAAAAACTGGCTGCAAGTATGATGTTACATGATACTTGCAGCACCCCCCCCCCCTTCAGTTCTTAAATTTTCTTATTTCAGTTCCACGTCAAACACAGTTGTGTCGATGGAGTTTTTTCACAGAGTTAAGCATGCCTGGCAGCTCCACAGCTGTTCCAGTGATCTCATCTCAGCCTCTGCCAAACTCAGTGAGCTCAGTCAATCAGAGGACGCAGAACAAGAAAACTTAATGCGGGAAAAAGAATGAAATGCTGTGTGGGTGCACACCAGTGACAACAATCAGTCTCTAAAGCTTCATCTTAGATTCAGCACTATGAAGGATAAGGCCGTGTGATCTTATATGTTCTGTTCTGACTTGCAGCTCAGTGGCATTCGGACCCAAACTGGTTCCTTTATTTCTGGCTTTAGATTCATTACTAGTATTCATTCTTTATCGATACTGAAGTTTATAAAGTTTGGTTGTTTCTGTGTTTAGTGTTTTACTCGTTGACTGTACTTAGCTGCTGTATGGATTTGCTGCCCTTCTTGGCCAGGACACTGTTGTAAAGGAGATTTTTAATCTCAACACTTTATTTTCTACTGGCTACAAAGATACATTTACTAAATCAGTCTTCGGCCGAATGGACAGTATATTATATGGCAAATTTTTTTGCTGAATTTGGCATAATTTCTATTAAAGAAAATTTTACAATATTACCGCACATGTCATTTAAAGAAATCCAGGCATGTAATAATAAAAAGAGTTCTCCACGATCCTAGTAGTGTTTAAAATCTATTCACTGAGTGGTTATAGAGGCTGCCTTCGATTTGGATAATGCAAATCACAGCCAGCGAACATGCCTTAAATAGTTTGCTTTTGCTTCCTTAAAGGCACAGGCTGAAATCAAACCTGTCTCTCAAATGTTCAAACTGATGATGTATTTTTGATGCTCTTAAATGCTCGACTATATCAATAGTGTTTGTAAACAAAGCAGAAAAATGCAGATATTTTCAGTTATGGTGAGCAGTCTAACAGGTCACATGGTTTACTATTTTTAATAATCCATGTAAATCTCTGCAATGATGCCTTTAAACACACTGTGCAAACTGAAAAACTGCAGCATTACATTGCTAGGATTTAAGGAAGGCAACATCAGGTTACATCAGGCCCGACTTGGAGCCAACACACAGGAGTAAATATGTCAGATAACCTGTTTAAGCTGCTGTAACGTTCACGCCAACACCATTATCCCTCACAAACAAATAGCAGCAAAGCAACTCTAACTCAAAAACATTTCAAACTTCTACAGGAGAGATTAATAGAGAAAATAAAGTTGTAGTTTTCAACCATTTCCACTCACTCACCATGACGAAGTAGAAACACACACTGTTTACTGCGTTTTACTTTATAAGCTGCTTTCTGTGTTACGCTGCCGTCTAACCCGCAGTTCTTTCCAGAGCACCGACTCGAGCAGTTTCCACCGCTTCTCTCGGTTTCTAAACACACAAAACGCTGCACAGTGACGACACTGCACAGGCTGACTGATCGCTTTCAAATTGCAAACAACAAGTGTGAAGACAAGAAAGATGGTTTCTCGATTTTCAGTAAGTATGACCACAGTGTTTTTGGTTTGACACACTTCACCTGCCTATTACTGAGCTATTAATGTCATTTTTATGATGGAAAAGTTTGTCAGGTCCAAGAGTCCGGTCACAGGTGGGTTCAGTGTTATGTCAGCTGGTTATGAAATCGACTGGGGGGGAAAAAAAGAGTCCACAGAGCTACTTTACTTCTCCTTTATCCAAGATCAGTAAATTGAAGTAAATTTGGATATTATTTGGATTTGGATAATATATAGAGTTATGCAGGGATTTCACTGAAATGTTAAATGTGATTTGGGACAGACATCCTCTCTGCTTTTACGATTAGCCTTCCTTTTTGATAACACGTTAGTTAGGGCTCAGTCAGGTGACCCTGAACCCTCCCTTAGTTATGCTACAATAAGTCTGGGCTGCTGGGAGGGGTTCGCATGATGCACTGAGTGTTTCTTCTTCACTGTGTTTTCTACATTTAATTATTAGTTATTATTAATCTCTGTCTCTCTTCCACAGCATGTCTTTGCCCCGTCTTCCTGTCCTCACCTCAGCCGGTCGAAGCACATGGCCTCCCTGAGCCTGATTCTGCCGGAGGTTTCTTCCTGTTAAAAGGGAGTTTTTCCTTCCCACTGTCACCAAAGTGCTTGCCTAATGTGCTTGCCTCACAGGGGGTTGCCAAATTGTTGGGGTTTTCTCAGTATTATTGCAGGATCTTTACCTTCAGTATAAAGCAGCTTGAGATGACTGTTGTTGTGATTTAATGTAAATTAAATCGAAGTGAATTGAATTGAAAGGTCATCAGGATTCATTTTGTGGAAAAGCATGAATGTTTCTGTAACTTTTTCCACGCATGTCCTGCAGCTGTGAACTTTTCTAGTCATTACCCAGCAACACTAACTAGTACAAAGTCTCTGTGTTGATGTGATTTGAAACAGCACTGAAGCATGCTGTGTGCCGCATATGAGAAAAGGTTTCTTTGGACAATGATTCTCCTGACTCTGTCTGAAGTTCATGTGTGAAAACAGCTTACGTGTGTGAAGACTTCCAGCCATTCAGACCCTATTATAGAAAAGTACCAAAGCAAAGGTCACTGGTCTTGCTCGAGTTATTTGAAGCAAACGATCTATGGCCCTTTTCATTACAGATCGCTCGACGCAGTTTTTACGATTTTCCGTTAAGTGGTATTATCTGGTCCCAGGTACTTTTTTTATCTACTCGGTTGAGACTCCAGGATGCTTCTTCACATCCAGTTAGCAGTGGGGATTCCCAGACAGATATGAAATGGTGTTACTCGTCAACTCAGGTGACCCTGATGGCTCAGATGTGACCTCAACAGCTATACTTTATGTAAAAAACACCATCAGATTCAATGAGTTGTGGAGGTAAATAAGAAAATAACATTTCCCATCACTTCAAGCCTTCATGTTTTTATGAGCGAAGCTACTTGCCTCCCAGCAAGTATAAAGTGCTTTTATGTTCTGTTTTTTCTGACGTACACTGATGATATTTTGCCATTAATGCAAAAGACACTGAGTTTATGAGCAAAAATGCACCATGCTAAGGCTTCACATTTACTGCACAAGCATGACAGAGATGTGTAAGTACAGAAAAGGCTGTCCTTGCTTGTCTGTCTGCCATCCATCCATTCTGGGGACATGTGGGATGACTTTAAATTTCAAAGAGACATTTAAATGCTGGCTCATTAAAGTCGGACAAGCACAAAAAAAAAAAGATCTGGCAGTTTGGACTGACTGCAGAATGACATCATCCCATTTATCATGGCCTGCATGACCGTAATGACTACTTATAGTAAAGTGACAAATGGCCTCCCACTTAGCTGCCTGGCAACTGTCTTCATTATGCCTGAAATCACTATGATCACGTTCAGGAGCAGACAACATGGACAAAGCCTAAGCTGACTGTGCTGCCTATAAAGTACGGACTCCACGTTTGATTATTATACCTTTTACTGTTTATGTGCTCAACTTTGTTCCCTCTCTTCCACTTATTGTATTTTAAGCCATGTTTGCATGCAAAGCCCGGAGGCTCCGTTTGCTCCGTTTCAGAGGAATTTGGGGCTTTCCATGCTTTTAATGCTGAAAAGGGTGACATAAGCCCCCAAACGAATTATGAAAACTCTCTCATGTTTTCACCCATAATCCAAAGCATCCACTGGGGGCAGGATGATGAGAGATTACAGAGGCAAACGCACGTCTTCAGGGTGAATGTCCTCTTATCCAGTTCCACATCCACCAACGCCACCACAAATTTGAAAACACAGACGGTTAAAGTTTCTAAACCTTCCGTTTGGGCAGATTAAAGACATTTTTCAGCGTGGGCAAAGTGTCATTTGGAGAATTGTGGATTAATTCTTTTGAGAATTAAGTTTAAGTTTGTTTTTTGGCTGATCCAACTTGGATTATTTTAAGAAAACGGAGCTCTGAATAAAGAAGGAAACTCCGTGTCGCTGCGTCACTCTGCTGTATATCTGCCAACCACGCACTCTGGGGGCACGAGATAAGACAATGCTCTGTGTGTCAGAGTGTGCGTGCTAACGGCTGACCTCAAATAAGGCTTACAGATGTGGAAGGGCATGGCCGCTACAAACTGTCCATGGTGCACATCTGTCAGGGAGAGCTCAGTGACGCTTGACTCAATGTGCAGACAAAACACTCTCCCTCAGTGAATGAGTGACAAGACAAAAGAGAAAGCTGGTTTTTGGTTTGGTTGATCTTTAATCCTCAGAGTTTGTACTGATCACACTTTGTACTTTCAGTAAAATGAGTTTGTAAATTTGCAAGATATGATTTTTTTGTGAGAATACATCTTTCACATTCACTGATACTGTGTAAAGTATAAAAACATGTGGTAGGTCCTTTGTTTCCTTGGCTGTTAGTTACACATCTGAGACCTCTGAGAAAAACTTGGAGTTTCATGAATAACCTTAACTTCCTCCTCGGCACAGAGTACAACGTAAACATGTCGCACCTGCAGCTTCTAAAGTCAAATCAGCATCAGCCAGTGAGCATTGTAAACAGGAAGCAGCAGGAAATGAACAGATGTGCCATTACAGCACGTCTGCCCGAAGTAAATAACAGGTATTTCTCCACACCTGAGACCACAAGACGTGCAGCAGGAACCTGTATTTCTTGTATCAGCAGATTTCCAGTGTAACAGCCTGAAGTTACAGCAGCATCTTTTTAATCATCTCTTTCCTGTTACAGATGCCAAACAACTTTTCAGTGCTGTGCGCTGGACTGTTCGAACACAGCGCTGTTATAGCTTCTGCCTTTAATTAATCATAAATCTTTCCTTCCTCTTGTTACCCGCTCTTTCCAGCCCTCCTACCCACATTCAGAACATCCCACTTACTTCAACTCCATGGCTGCTCTCCTCTTCTGTTCTCTCTCTTCACTGAGGCGGAAAACAAACGCTGCTCTTCGTCACCTAATTCTCCACATGTATGATATGCTGTATTATGTCCAGGAGGCAGTGACAAGAAGGCATGTGAGAGGCCTGAGCTGCTACAATAATCCAAACAGACTGACAGGAGGCCAACGGGTGAGCGGAGACGGAGGGGGAGGACAGTACAGTGGTGTAGAGGAAGACAACAGACCAATCACAGGAGCTAGGGAGGCTGAAGAAGGCTGGGCTTAAAGCCTGTGCTGCTCTTTAACCCCCAGTGAGGGCAGAAGCTCAACTAGCATGGAGCAGAGACAGATAAGGAGTGACAGAGGACGGGGCTGCTGACAGAAACAGACACAATCAAATGTGCCAGCAGTGGCCAAAGGATTTCATTATTTGCAGAGTCCAAATGCTGTCCCAGGTGCAAATGATTATAAGAAAACTCCCTAAATGACACAAAAGTAATTAAAGCTAGTCATTTTTACATTAAGATGTTAGTGCGAAGGCACAGGACACCACTCCCACCTTTTTACGAGGAGTTTTATCCTGATTTGAGGTAAAGGTGCTACAAGTTGCACTAGAAAAACTATCAAAGCAAAAATGTCTGCACAGAGTAGTTTAACTAGATAAACTAAGAGTTAAAACAAACTGCAGGCAGATCCAAAACTCACTGATCCAAACGTTAAAGAGCAACAGCCAACCAAAGTCATAGTAATTGAAACAAGATGGTCCCAGAAAGCCATAATAACTGTAACAGTCCTCTAAGTGATGACCACAGTGCAATCATATGCTGAACACTACGGTTCAAAGAGCAGAAATGCAGTTATTAATCAGCGGTGCGTTGGTATCTGTTTGCCTCCAGATGAGGCAAAGTTGGAAGATAAGTTCAACATGAAGCAGACGTTATGTGTGCAGTCATTCCTCCAGCGAAAAAGAACCTAAAACCTCCAAAATGACCATGAAATTCATGCTCACGGATGTAAACTTACGACCACAGCTGTACATATGAGGCTCTAAAATTCCTTTTCAGTTTTCCATTCAGCACCATGAATCTTAATATGCAGGCTTATTTTTTAGTATAAACGGCTCAACTGTGTTTTAGTGTGATCTTACTGATTGTTTTTGTGTCACGTTTCCAAAAACACGATAATAAAATGAGCATCCTGTTCTGACGCTTGCAGCCAAGAGGGCAGCCTTCCTCTTATTGTTTGCACATCTTTCACGTTTATACCTTGGCAGAGACACATTAGCTGTTCCACCATAACAAAAAAAATCACTCATGATGCGTTATCGGGCTGTATACACCCACACCCACACTTTCCTACAGACAGGAAGACACTCTCACATAACACAGACATGTAGCTCCCCCCAGAGTGGTTCCTATTTCTTGAAAGCTTTAATCTTATTGGCAGGCAAAAACAAATGTTTGTGGTAATTATCCAAATGCATCTGCTTCCCCCCGACTCCCACTTAAATGGATTACTTAAGCATTGAAAATGACGTTATACAGTAACAGGAGCACTGTGATTCAATCCTCTTTCAGATTTATTTCACTGTGTCACACAGAGTAACAGGAAACCACCAGCTGAATATGTGAAAGAAGAAGAAGAAATGCGCTGTAACTACTGATCTTTTAATCTGTAATGGCTCGTTGCATTGTATGCTAAATCTAACAAACGAGTTCCTTGAGACATGCTTCAGTATTTTCTCCTAAATACTGACTAAATACTGTTTACTCAACCTGAACAATAAAGAAAAGTGAAAGAACAATTGTTACTTGCTATGAATAACCCATTTTGATTGATTAATGTTTTGTCTTCATTGCTCTCCAGAAAGGTAAATAAACGTAAAACTGCTAATTAGTTTAAGCTCACGTGTTTATTTTGGTTATTAGGCTGGTTCAGGTTCCTCTTACATTGCAGTCTCCTCCCTTCCTTTCAACCTCCACTCACATCTTGCATCAGGTGACCTCCATAGGTCACATGACAGGGTGGGAAACTGTGCATTACTTGATAAGAAAGACGTATGATGTCATCACTATTGTACTGTATCCTATATTGTGACTGACAATACCCTTGACACAAAAAATATATATGTTTGCAGCCTTAATGCTCATAATGGTACAAATGGCTCTCTGTGCAAATATGTTCAAAGATAGTAAGTGAAAGGTTTTCACAGCACATATAACTACAATGTGTGTTGCCTTTAACTTGTAGCATTACATCAGAGCTCCTCATTATTTGGAGATGACCAAAAGATAATGTCACCTCTTGCATGCTAGATCAGAAATAGATCAGAAGGATTTTTATGACTGATACCGATATTTGGTGATTTAAAAATTCCATATGTATGGAATCTGGAGAACCTGTTTATAACACATAAACAGATTCTCCAATCATTCGGTACGTGTAATTATTTATTTACTTATTCCCACTCCGCTTGAATCTGCTTGGATTAGCTGTTAGTTGTTGTGCGTGGAAAATTGCAGAGTGCCCCCTGGTGGACACACCATGCAACATCAGCACTAATAGTAGGCTCACCAACACACTTCATGCACATAATCTACAATGTGTTTGTTTGCCCTTTCAAAAACGATGTCACTCAGAAGTCCTTCGTTCTCCTGTTGATTTGCAGTCACAGAAATGATTCAGATGCACTCAGAGCTACTACAGAGTAAAGAGTGACTAAGCTGGTTGTTGTTCTAGCTTAATCACTTAGCTTTAACCACACAGACTCTGAGCTCTGGCAGAGCTCAAAGCGCTGGGTCCATTGATCCTGAGGGGTGACAATGTCACAGTGCAGCAGTGCAGAACAGCAAGCCTTCGGGGTTTTAGTCACTGTACGAGAAAAACATCAATACTAACACCACCAGCCGACATGTAATGGAAAAATATGTCAGTCGATATTGGGGTTATTTGCTGACTGATACTGTAACAAAGCTACATTTGCCTTAATGAGCGTCTATGTTGCAAATGATCTTAAAATTTTCTATATATTTATGGCTAAACAGATGTTTTGTCATGAAACTTGCTATTAGGTTTGTGCTACTTTATTGCTTATTCATAGTTTTTTTTCTCTCACATGTATTCTCATATTCAAACTTTGTATATTTAAAAACAGTAAGTAATTTCTTTGACGTGGATGAGAATGAGGGATGGATTTGAGGGAAAATAAGTGTTTTGCAACTGCTGACACTACACACTGCGTATCAAGACAACGTACCTCAACTATTCTTTAAGTATCACGAGTGATTAAACACATTTATTGACAAAATGCATTCTACATTTCACTAAAGACTGTTCACTGTGTAGACAAACTGTTCAATGTAAATTTAATCTGAAGGACTTTCTTTTAAGGACTCCAGTTTAGCTCCCAGGGTGAGCAGGGAGCGATACGTTGGCCAGGGTTTGACTCTGACCTGCGGCCCTTTGCTGCACTCTCTGCTTTCTATTCCACTCTTTACTTCACTATCCAATAAAAGCAAAAACAACATTTTAAACTGTCGTTTCATACAGAAACAGTAAGTGTTGCACTGATCGGAGTCAGGATTCTGTGCACAGAGTGGGAATTTTTTGAGGATTACGGTAACTCGATGCAGAGTTAGAGGTGTTTCGGATTTGTGTTATTCCCTGTTTTATCTTTTTAAGATTGTTGCTTGGACGTGCTGCCTTTACCCCCAAAGTTATTTCATGGACATATGTGGGTTCCTTCATCACTACTTCGTCATTAAGAGGAATTGAGAAGTAGTGATGTGTAGAGACTCCTAGGGTGGCTTTTGCATTTTGAAGGTGCAAAACAGAAACAGAAGGTCTAGGCCAGGGGTGGAGAACTCCAGGCCTCAAGGACCAGTGTCCTGCAGGTTTTAGATATCACCATGGGTCAACATATCTGAATCAAACAATTAGTTCATTAGCAGGCCTCTGGAGAACATCGAGACATGTTGAGGATGTAATTGCCCATATAAATCAACTGTGTTGGATCAAGTACACATCTAAAACCTGCAGGACACTGGCTCTTGAGGCCTGGAGTTCCCCCAACCCTGGTTTAGGCTGTAAAAAATCAAAATCAAAATAACAAACCAATCAGGCTAAGAGCAGAAACACTAGCAGTGAAAACATTTAAATCAAATCTTGGGGAGGAAACAACAAAAGAAAAAATAGACAGAGATGAGCTTGGAAACAAAGACTCCTGGACATCTATGGAAGACAAGAATGGTGGATGACCACACATCCATTGAAATGAAGAAACCTCTATATGGTTAGACACATAATAATCCCATAAAGAGAAGAATTCACAACAATAATCACAGAGGTTTCAACAAACTATTCATCAGACTTAAGAACACAAAGCCCAGATGACACGATTCATTTCCCAGTTTACCTTTTCTGGACAGATGAGACTAATGTCAGCTTCAATCAAAACGATGAGGTAGGCTCGGAACAGCTCACGATCAGGTGGGATGTGATGGATGGGCACGTGTGGCGTCCGGTGCCACTTAGTCACATGATGGGAAAAAGAAGCTTGAAGATGAATTCCTTCTTTCCAAAACACTCACGTTTCCCGATTAGCACGAGGATGATGCTCCACTGCAGCGGTGGCAGAACTGTGCAGCCCTTACCACACCACTTTCTACTTTTTGTTCCCACAACCATTTACTGCATTGAAGCATCTCTGATGTCACAACAGAAAGAACAGCCCGCCATAGGAAAACTACTGCTTGGACATCAAAGACTCTCTCGCACAGAGCCAGGATAAGAGAGAGGAGTGGACAGGCTTATGTAATCACACATTAATCCATGACAATGACGTGAATGTGGCTTGCTGATGAGCCATTGAGACAATCCACTGTGAATAATGATGGCAATGTCGTAGAAACTCCCAAAATGAATGTAAAACCCCAGCAGTGTAACAGACTTCTCTGGTCACATTTGATCAAAGGATTCATTTGGTATTCAATTGAAGTTTCTTATATCTGTAAACTGACTGCAGAGGGAGAGCACAAGTCCAAGGGTCACTTTTTAGCATGTTTAATTTCTAAAATCAACACACAGTGTATAAACTGTTCAACTAGGTGTACATGGTGTCAAAATGTCAATTCAAGATTTAGTTATTTCATTTATTCCCTGAAAAATTACTGTTACTGTTTTTATTTAAATAAA